GACGTTGGAAAGCATCGTTATAAACAAAAAGTCCTTGGGAGGAAACTGGGAGTTTGGAGTATACTGGTTTCCCCTGGCTGAGTTGTGACACTGACCGAGCGCTTGCTGGACAAGGAGAAACCCCTCCTTCCTCCTGCTGGTGGGAGTAAAGGAGAGCCATGCGCTGCCTGAGATGCGAGGCACCTCTCTCCCTGTCTGCATCTGTACTGACGTCTAAGGGCACACACAGGAGGGCACCCCCTCCGGCCTCTCGACTCCGTTTTGGTGAGGGTTCTTGTGGCGGGCACACCTCCTTTTATTGCACTCCAGTTTATTGGGTTCTTTTTTTTTTTTACATTTTTTATTGATTCATAATCATTTTACAGTGTTGTTATTGGGCTTTTCTGATACTGGTTTTGTTGTTTTGTTTTACAAATTGAAGGTTTGTGGTGACCCTGCGTCAAGCAAGTCAGCTGGCACCATTTTTCTGACATCATTTACTCACTTTGCGTCTGAGTCATATTTTGGTAATTCTCACAATATTAAAAATTTTCGTTATTATTGTATTTGTAATGACAACCTGTGATCTGGGATCTTTGACATTACTACCACGACGCGCTGAAGGCTCAGATGGTGGTTAGGATTTTTGAGCAGTAACGTATTTTTTAATTAAGGTATGTGTATTTTTAAAGACATAATGCTACTGCACACTTAGTAGACTACAGTGTAGTGTAAACGTAACTTTTATATGGACTGGGAAACCAAAAAATTCATGTGACTCACTTTAATGTCGTATTCGCTTTATTATGGTGGTCTGGATCCAAACCCACAATCTCCATCAAGTATGCGTGTGAATGCCCACTTGCTCATCACTGGTTTACAGGAAAGCCACCAGCTTTTGTTCATTTTCCTTGCCTCCTGCAGCCTTGCTACAGTCACTTGTTAGTTCCAGTTTTTTGTCAACTCTTTTGGATGTTCTACATAGACAATCACGTCATTTGCAAAGACAGTTTGATTTCTTCCTTTCAATCTGCACATAGTTTATTGCTTTTTCTTGTCGGGTTGCATGTGTTACAACTTCTAGTACGGTATTTAAACGCAGTGATGAGAAGGGACATTCTTGCCTTGTTCCTGATCTTAGCAGGAGAACTTCGAGTTTCTATTAAGCATGATGTTGAGACAAGATGGAAGGGGACAGGGCACAGCCACTCGAGGAATGACATCATTTAACACTAAAATGGTGGAGGATTCACCTCCTAGTTGGCCTTAGGATTAAGAGGTTTGACTCCTAGTAGACCTTGAGCCTCATCATATGCTCATTGTAACAGCGTGATCAAATAACACGCCTGCAGGCGCCGTGACAGTCCCAAGGCTAACCGCAGAAGGCCGAAGAATGGGCGGTGGCCCAAGTCCTGGGAATCCCAGCCCCTTCCCCAGGGCAGTTGGAATGGTCCCACCCATAGGCGTGTGAAGCTACTGAGCCCATAAAAACTGGCAACACCACGCCTGGCGGCCCTTTCCGCTCCCTCTTCGGAGACGGCCCATGTTCCGTCTATGGAGTGTGTGCCTACTTCTACTTTAACCTGAGCACCCGATTCCCACACCTCTTTCCTGGCCTTTCTCTTGCCTCACACTCTATGCAGTGTGTGTCTCTCTAAGTAAATCTATCTTTACCCAATGGTGGCTCGCACTTGAATTCTTTCCTGCCGGAAGCCAAGGACCCACACTTGGTGAGGCACGTCCCAGGGGCTCAACTGAGACCTGGGACACTGCGCTCCTTACGCCCCACATCCGTTTTCCTGCATCAACATTATCTGTAGGTTTTAGGTAAACATTCTTTATCCGGTTGAGGAAGTTTTCCTCTATTCCTAGTTAAGACAAATCCAGTGATCAATCTGGTTTCAAACCACTGGTTTTATTTATTAAAAGGTACTTTTGTTAACGCAACACAACATGACCTGTCATGAGTGGGAAACCTAAAGCGCCGATCGGCAGAGTGGGGTCCTCAGGACTGAAATGGGGATAATTGGGTGCCCTTGGCTGGCTCAGGTACCTTGAATATCCAACCTCACCAAGGTCCACTTTGAGAAACCAGCCCCTCCCCCCCGACTGATAAGGCTATTTGTCCTTGATTGAAGACTCTTATCTGAGCAAGTACCTCTCAGGGACAAGCCAGTCTCCTGTCTCACCTGCCTCTGCAGCAGTGAGTCAGGTCTCAGCAGGTCCCAGGTGGCCGACTACAAAGTGAAAGTCAGAAGGTCTGACTGAACGAACAAATATTTACTGATCTATATTTAAAAAAAAAAAGTCAGGGAAATACGTGGGAACTGATTCTAGACATGCTTGGCCAGGGAAGGAGGGGTGCACAGACAGAGCTCCACAGGAAGTCCAGACTCAGTGGGCTCGCTGGGGGACTGAGGAGAATTCACTGTGTCGCTCAACCAAACCCGGGAACCCACAGTGGCCCACACGAAGGTAAGTGAGTCTTCCAGAAATCCCTTGGAACAACACAGATGTAAGAAACCTCAGGAGAGAAGTAAGCTTGTTACCTGCGCATCCATCCTGCAGGTGGTCCGGGGAGGGCAAGGAAGCCCTATCCTTTGCCGGGCTGCTGAGGACAGCACCGCAGCTGCGCACAGACATCGTGGGAGAGCGCCGCGGCGGCTCCCCTCTGCAGGCTGCACGGAGGGCCCCGGGAGTCAGCCATAGAACCACGCCCCGGCCCAGCGCAGATGCCGCAGATGCCGAGGCCTGAGGGCGGCAGCGCACGCACCGTGACCTCTCACTTCCACGGGGCCATGTGTGCAAGGTTCCCGCAATGGTCAGGCTAGTGCAGTGAGCTGAGGGCCTGGGGTCACAGCTCTCTGTCCTCTCTCTCTGCCCCTCTGCACCTCCACACCAGCTGTGGTGAACAGAGGCTTCTGTTCGGAGCCTCTTGCTGAATCTCTAACCCTGTATTAGTTTAAGTCCTGGAGCCTCTTCCCAGCCTCACGCAGAGGGGCCAGCGGCAAGGCCTACCCTGGCCTTGCAGGACTGTTGGAACCCCCCGTTCCTGACCATGCGTCCTGGTTAGGGCTACTTCCGTCCAACTCACTGGACAGCAGGAGGTGGACTGTCTGACCTGGACACTCCTGCCATTTGGTTCTGAAGACCTTCCCGACAGTAGGTGACTGGAAGTGCTCTCCGAGGTCTCTGAATCACGTTTTCTGCACCTGAGGCGCACAACACCCAGGGGCTGTGAACCGGCCCCTCGACGCATTCTGTGATGTTCCTAACCTTTTCTTCCCTGTCATCTGTATTCCGGTGTCCACTATCGCCCTGGACGTGAGATGCCTCCGTTGCCATTGAAACCCATCACATGCTCCATCCTTGCTTCTGCACAGCATCAGCCCCCAGCCCTAGGCCAGGGAGAGGTGTGAGTGGCCAAGCCCCGGGAGGCTGCGAAGGGGAGGATGGGGCATTTTACCCTTGGAGTTGGTTAGGCTCCAGCTCCCACCACGGCTGACCAGATGCAGGCGTCTCCATATTTCCCCAGCATTTCTTCCCTGTATCGCCTACTGCCCACTGCTGCTTCTAGAAATGGGGTGTTCCTGCTGCCACCTGCCACAAAAGTGCACCATCTGCTCTCCCCACACATCAGCTCCACGAAGTGGCGGGGGCGGGGCACAGCAGCACTCCAAGCTGGAGGGGCGAGCCTCCCTGCCTCCTGTCTTCAGGGGAGCACCTAGTGATACCCGCCCGCCAGGCTTTTTGAGATGTTCCTGCCATTTCCACAGGGGCTTATACCCTCACAGCTCTCCTGACTGTAACGTGTGAAAAATAACTCGGGTGGACCTACTGGACACAGAGGGAGTGGGACAACGAGCCGTGGCACGAGGGTCCAGGTCAAGCGAGATGGCAGAAAACTGTGCGGCACATAGGCATTCCTCAGATACATCTCCAAGAGTAAACACACCTAAGCACACCTTTAAGGCTGTAAAGTTGCTTTTTGCACTGCCTTGACTGTCTCCCACAAATACCACTCGTCTTTCAGTCCTAAGGATGCCCCACCAGGGCTTATACTGGGGACTACACACCCACTGGGGGCTACACTTGGACTCACAGGTAATTTAGAAGGGAAGGAGCAATTTAGAAGAGAAGAGTCCTCATCTTCCAAACATTAAACTTTAACAAGCACCTCAAGGCTTTAAGTTGTCCCTTGGCTAGCTATCAGTCTTTGTATGAGGCCGATTCTCTGACATCTGAGACGCGCCTCACAGCCCAACGTGCGGTCAGGGACCACTACGCCAGGTGTGCTCTAAGTACAGTCGTCTTCTCATACACTGTTCAGTGTGCGTCCATCAGAGCAGCCTGTAAACGCTACCACTCAAGTCCTTCGTGTCCACCTGACTTTGTCCGCTTGGTCTATCAGTTCCTCAGACCTGGCAGACGCCCCCGCTGGTGTGTGAACAGGTTTCTCCCTGCGGCTGTGCTTCTGCTGCAGCTGTTCAGCCCTTCCAGGTGACCGGGGCCCCTCTTCAGTTTGTGGTCAAGTTCTTTCTCTTTAGGGATTTTTTTACGTTAATGTCGACTTCATCTAATACTACAGCCACACCAGCTTTCTTCTGGTTACCAACTGTTTCTTAACTGGAGTTCAGTCAAAAGAATTATTAATAGTTTCACTTAAATACAATCCACATACCATAAAATTCATCCGAATTTTGTTGGTGGGCACTCATTCTAGCTGCCTGGGGGCTTGGACCCGACTCCCCCCCTTACTCTGGCTCTTCCATCCACCTTGCTTGGTTCCAGGTTTTCCTCTTTCCCTCTCTCCTGCTGCCTCCCAGAGTGGTATCACCCACCCCACTTCATTTTCCTTCCTCCTAGGTTAGTAACACCGTTTCCATCTTTTAGTGGTTATTTTAGGACTTGAAATGTGCGTGTTTCGTTAAAACTCTCATTTTTACTCCTTTTACAAACTTGGCATCATTTATATCCAGACCCCAGTTACCTGACCCCGTCAATTCCACCTGCAGCTCCGGTTACAGGGGCCGATTTTCGTCCCTTCCAAGGGGGTTCTGGACTGATTCGGCAGTCACAAGGGCCACTGAGTTCCTGCTCCTCTGAGCACGGGAGAGGAGGAGGGCGCCAATGAAGAGCCCCACGCCCCCGACGCCTACTCCCTCCTCACTGCTCCCTGCCCCACACCAGCAACTTCCAGGGAGCACTCTGGCCTCACAAGAAGCTGGAGCCCATACCTGGCCACCCCTTCCCTGGGCCCGAAGTCTCTTTCGCCCGCCCGCCTGAACCCTCCCGCCAAGTCGGCGAGGGGCGCGCGGCCAGGGTCCATTTGCCGCCAGGGGCCCGCGCCTGC